ACTTTTTTTCTGTAACCTCTTTTGCAGCTAATTTATGTAATTCTGCAGAAGCCATCCTACGGTCTATCTTCCTTTTACTAATAGTTTTGGTATTCTGGAAAAATCTTAATCCCTTAATTATTAAAATAGCATACTCGGAAAACTAAAGGCATAAAAGAAAGTCGACAGCTTAAATCGGGACGAAAGTAACAGCTTGTTACTTTTGACCCCACTAGCGCTATCTCTCATAAACACGTTACTATATTCAAACCTAACTTGTTATCATGAAAAATGTTATATCGACCTGAAAATACATTAATTATTTAATATAACACAAAGACTTTCAGAGTATTTTATGGAACTGAAACAAAAAGATACACAATTCAAGAAGACAATACAAACTTACTTTTGGTATATTATTTCAATAGAGTAGTCGTATTAGAAAAATCGCTTACTGCTGCGCGTTGGCGACAACTGAGGTGGAGAACAGATGGAATTTGAATATAGAGATGGAAGGAGGGAAACGTTGGTAGATTGGTATTTGTTTTATAACAGTTGTTACATTCGTCCCGTGCTACGTTTGTCCCTGGTCTCCCCTACATTTTATTTCTATTCTGAAACGATACGTAAAATTGATGTATAATTTACATATTTTTTATGTTTAAGTCAATATCTTCTGTACTATAACAGCAAAAGTGCTTCGAAATTTTTGTCTGTACATGTATCATAAAAATGTTACTTTAAAAGTTTTCTTTTACGCAGAAGAGAACAATTCTTACAAGCTACTCTAAATGTGAAACATCAGGTACTGCACATTTTCTGGTTAAGTATATCTAATGAAAGTTAGCCTGGAATTCTTGAACACCGACAACAAATTTAAGATTATTCTATTAATCATAATATTCTCTAATAGAATGTTTAAGTTATAACTGTTTAGTAGGTATAGAAATATGAGTATAAACTTTTTAATTCATTTTGTTGTTTCTAATGAAAATCCATCATCTTAATACAATTTTTGTCTACTTACGAAAACACTATTTTCGATTAGTAGGTATTGCTACCGTTCCTCTGCGTACAATTGTCTCGAGAATCATAACCTCAAAGAGTATTTGCGGTTGCCTGAAATGTCTGGGACCTACTCCGAAGAAACGAGATCAGTATGGTACGTTAGTGAGGTGGAAAAGTGGTTCCAAGAGTGCTTTCAAGAAATATAAAGCCGTAAAAAGTTATCACGAATTACTTAGAAACTACATGGATAATCCAATAACTGAGTCCCAATATGTCATCTTTCCATTGACAATTCGTGAATTTATAATAGCAACATGGCTATTTACGTGTCGCTGTAAATGAAAGTATTCCAACATCTCTTCCCCTGACTCGTCGTGTCATTTCCATTTCCCTGTCAACAATTATTTATTAACGTGGCTTGTTTCGTTTTAGTTTTATTCCATTATTTATAACGTCCGCCTGGCGTGGTTATTTTATTTATTTTGGCACTTTGAAAACCGATACCCGGCGAGCTGTCATATTTTCAATAAATTATGAGCCATCTATCATTCACAGTCCACGAGGCGTGTTTGTCGATAGTTCTCGGGGAAATAATCAGACGATCGGTTTTAGGCAAACAATCCGGTGCAATTGAAACGAACGCTATTTTCGGCAAGCTCGCGTTTCCCTATGCAACGCGCCGCCGTTCAAGGAACAATGACCGGATCGAATAGTCGGTTTGAGGGGCTTGAAGTGTAACACAGACGTAAATTTACATCCTCCATTCGGCCGGATGATCGCTACCGTATGTCTACATCTCTGCATCATCCTGACGCTTCCCTCACACATCTAGAACAACGACCCTTGCACCAATTTACCTAGAATCAGCGTTGCACATCCACCTTCCCTCTGATTAATCCTCTAACCGTGGACGACTTTGGCAACGACACGGACAGCAATGCCAAGACCCATTTCAGCCAGTAATGGGCTCTTTTCGTGCACGTTTCAGAGCGAGCTTGCTTTTTTTTCTTCTTTGTTTTTTCCTCTGTCTGAAACTTTTGTGGTACCACCAGTCTGCAGGATATTTCTGTAAGTAAAGACAAAAATCTGGATTTCAAAGCTAAGAGTGCATGAAGACCACTTTTCTTAAAAAATAATATTTTACGTTTCCCATATCAAATTTTTTACTTTCTCCGTCGGTCAAAATTATTTCGTTCTAAGTCGTTGAGTAATTAATATAATAATGTAAACGTGATACTAAGTCAATATCTTGTTCCGAGTCACATAGTGTGAAGTCTATTACAGAGTCCTCTCTATTATCGTCCTTAACTCGGGTCCGCGAGGGGACGATAATCGTGGACTACGCTAAACGCTTCTGACCCCCGTGAATACGTTTTTTGCTCGAAGCTCAAGCCTCGGAAACTCGCCTTTGTAGTATTCCGAACGTAGAAAAGGACAAGCCAGTGAAAAACAGAGAGAAAGCTTCTTTTTCCACTCGACTCGGCTGCGTGGCCCGCCTGCTACGCTCTTGCCGACCAATGATTACATTATAGCCGACTACACAGTCCGATTGTGTGTGTACCGTTTCGGCCAATAATAAAAATACGTGTGACTGAAGGTGATCCAGCTTTCTGGGCAGTCGCTGACGATTGAACGCTTCGACCACGGGTGTACAACTCAGAGGTTTTTCTTGATCGATTTGTAGCGCCATTGGTGATAAGGGCCGGTACTAAAACGAGTGCCGGATATCCGGGATATACTGTATGAGATCGTGTATGATAAATTTGAGTTATAACAAATTTTATATTACGTGTTCGTAATTTAATAAACATGTTTAAAACTGCAAACAACTAACGTAAAATTTATTATAACACAAATTTATCACACACGATCCCATACAGTAGCCGCCAGTCACTAAAGTGTCACGCTCAAATTTTTACATTATATAGAGATACACTATGTAATAAATGTAATAAACAGATTTAAAATTTCGAACTAACATCAAATTTATTATAACATACATTTATCATACACGATCCCACACAGTAGTCGCCAGTCACTCACTGTCATGCTCAAAATTTTACACGAAATACATACAACATGCAATAAATTTATAAAATATATTTTAAATCGCGAACAACCCATATTTAATTTATTATAATACACATTCATCACACACGATCCCACACAATAGTCGTCAGTCACTCAGTGTCACACTCAAATTTGTACATTATACATATACATACAGTATGCAATATATGTATACAATAAAATTATGTTGCACATACAGGTGTCCGCGCGAACAGTATACAGTCAGTTATTTCCTAAACTATTTGAAATACGAGAAAACTGTTTACATAAATGGTGTGTACATTAAAGGTCACTGAATTCCTCTTGAAACGTACTATCAAGTGGTCTACAAAAAATATAACTACACTTGAAAAACCAAACTTAACCTTCATATCACTTAAAATAATGTTAAAAAAAATTCGCCATAGCCTGTTAATTTGCACCCTCGTGCTATTAAACTTTATGTAAACAGTTTTCTCGTGTTTCAAATAATTTAGGAAATAACGGATTCTATACTGTTCGCGCGTACACCCTGTATAACATAGACGATACGTATGACACGTGCATACTACATTCTTCTATACTTTTTTACACATTTTTCCCGAGCCATCTTGCACACATCTTCTACAGTCTTAGATGACCCTGGCTGCATGTGGCAAACATCTAATGACTGCTTCATATCTAACAAATAAGTGTAATCGACTTTATAAGTATGTGCACAGATAAATTTCATGAAAATTGATTTATTCTATAATATAAAAAAACTTACCCCCCCTTCTGGTTGCATCATTTCATCTAAAAGATAAGTAACATTGAAGGGAAAAATACGTTTGCATGTAAGTTATATAAAAATAAAACAATACTTATCCTTAGCCTTTAAAATGAAGTCGTCCTTTACCGTGGAAAAAATATATACCTGTGCCCATCTATTTTCTTCGCAGTCCTGGCAAAGACAATGTGGGGATACTGTCATACTTGAGGTTTGTTTTTTTATGATGACTAGCGTACAGTGACTCCCGTGTGAAATGTAATTCACACACACGGTAGTCATTTCGTCTAGATGGATGGACGTCGATCAAATCCAGCCTACATATGGCCAAACACCATTTTATTCATCTCGGAAACATAATTAATTTTTACAATTTAAAAATTTTTTTAAAATCCTTTGATATGTTTGTATATCATTAAAGGCTACAATATATCCAACTTTCAACAAAATCCGAAATATTACACAAAAAGTGTTAGACTTCACGTAGAATGACCGTTCGTTATTATTGAGAGAAAATTTGTAATATGAATAAAATTACAAAAACTGGTTTTAAGTATAATCTTACCTCTTTCTCCTTCGGTAAAACATAGGTTTTAACTCTGCTCTTCGCGCTCCCGCAATCAGGAACACAGCAACGCACCATTTCCGCACATTTTTAGTCCTCCTGCAACTACCTGCAACAGAAAACAAAATTTAAATGGCCAACGGGCCAACGGTTTAAACTTCCTCTACCGCCAAAACGTGTTTTATCCGCCGACTACATAGCACTACATAGAAGTACATGTGTCGAAAAATGCGACTTTAGCACCATTAGTGATAAGGGCCGGTAGCTTATGACTGACTATACTATTCTAATGGGAGTTAACAGGCCGTGGCTTCGACTAATCGTCGTACATTCCCCCGCTTCGTCCGTCGAGTCCATCACGCGCATACATTGTTGCCCAGCGCGCGAGACAACGGTAATGCAACGATGAAACGTTTCTATTTTTGATACATTATTAATGAACTTCTATATTGGTGAGATTTTTCTGATTAAAATTTTTTTTTTTTCTCCCTCGAGTCTTTGCAATTTGTCCAGGTGTGAACATTCGGCAAGTTGGTTTAGTGGTTTTGTGATGGTAGCACGTAGACATTTGTCCCATTGGAGAAACGTCGGTGACAATTGCTTTTTGTAGCTGTGAAGTTTTCTCTTCATTCAGAGTTGCAGATCCATCGGGTGTTTTCTCCGTAATAGTCTTCTAGGTTGATCCGTTGAGTAGAGTTCCTTGGCTGTACTATTGGGATGTTGCTCCAGTCTGGTTTTGTAGTTTCTGCACTGTCTCGTTATTTCATCAGAGACCGGTGTTATATTTAAGTCTTTACGAATTTCGTCATTACGGACGTACCATGGAGCATTAACAATTGTTCTGAGAACTATGGATTGTAATGATTCAATCTTCGCAATATGGCTTTTGGCAGCCATGCCCCAAAGTTGAATTCCATGTTCCCAGATAGGTTTTATGATTGTTTTATATATTAGTAGTTTATTTTCAGGTGATAACTTAGAATGTCTGTTGGTGAGCCATTGCATTTCCCTCCTTTTAATTCTGATTTGTTCTATTTTTTTCTTTATGTGTTGTTTCCAGGTGAGTTTGGAGTCTAGATGTAATCCTAAGTATTGGACTGCTTTAGTTTGTGGTATAATGTATTGATTTAGTATGATAGGTGGTGTAATGCCTTTTCTTAATGTGAAAGTGATATGATTGCATTTTTCGGTATTGACAGTTATTTTCCAGTGATTTAGCCACCGTTCGAGTGTTTGTATGTGCTTTTGTAACGTTTTGGAAGCTATTTTAGGGTCATCGTGTGTAGTTAATATGGCTGTGTCGTCAGCAAATGTGAGTAATGTGGTATCTGTTGTAGTGGGGATATCAGCTGTATAAAGGGTGTAAAGTGTGGGCCCCATTACACTGCCCTGAGGAACGCCACCCTTGATTTTGTAGATATCAGAGGTGCTATCCTGAATTTTGACATAGTATGTTCGGTCCTCTAGATATGATTTTATTAATTGGTATAAGGCAGTGGGAAATTTTAGTTTTATCTTATATAATAAACCTTCATGCCAAACTTTATCAAAAGCTTTCTCTATATCAAGAAATATGGCGGTGCAGTATTGTTTTTGTTCTAGGGCTTCAGTAATCATGTTTGTGAGTCGGTGTACTTGTTCGATCGTAGCGTGTTTTTTTTGAAAGCCAAACTGGTGTGTTGGGATTAAGCTTTTTTGTGTGATGATTTCCTGCATCCTATTTAGTATTATTCTCTCCAGTATTTTAGACATTATTGGGAGTAGTGAAATTGGTCTGTACGATGTAGCTAGGTGGACGTCTTTCTTGGGTTTTTGTATCATGCTTATTTGTGCTAGTTTCCAATTAATAGGGATATGTTTGATTCTGAGTATCGCGTTGTATATGATTGTTAACATCCTGACGGCTTTTGGTGGAAGCTCCTTTATAATTTTTCCGTTGATTAAGTCGAAACCTGGGGTCTTTCTAATTTTAATATTTTCGATGATTTTATTGACTTCTTTTACTGTGGTCCTTTTAATGTCTTGTGGGTCTTCAGACGTTGTTTCAGTGTGTAGTGTGTTTGTTGTGTTATTTAAGGGGGAGTTATTTCTTTCGTTAATTTGAAAAGTTTTATACAGGTGTTCGGCAAAGGTTGTAGCTTTATCCTGTGCACTTTTTGCCCAAGTATTATCAGTCTTTTTTATAGGTGGTAGTGATGATGTGGGTCTTTTCAGTCTCTTGGAGGCTTTCCACAGGGAGTAGTTTGTGTCGTCGTCGGCCGAGAGTTTAGAAATGTACAAATGGAATTTTTCGTTACAATAATTTTGTATTAGTCGTTTGACTTCTTTGGTAATTGAGTTTAATTTTGTTTTATTGTATGGAGTTTTTTGCTTTTGCCAGTTTCTTTTTAATTTACGTTTTTGTTTAATTTTCATCATAATATGTTCCGGGTAGGAATTAATGTATTGTTTGTTTGCGTTATGTCCAGTAGCATTCCATCCTGCTTCCTGTATCAGAGTAGTAAATTTATTTACTGCACATTCTATTTCTGCCGAGTTTTTTAAGCTTACATGACAATCCAAGTTTTTGTTTAGATATTGTTTGAAGAGTAGCCAGTCTGTGGTGCTGTTGCAGAGAGATGGTGTTTTTGTAATGTTTACGGGTTTGCCTGTGTATTTTAGAATAATCGGAGTGTGGTCGGAGCTGAGGTCGAGACTTGATTTAATTTCAAAGTATATCTGGTTTATGCCTTTGATTACAGCGAAATCTATTAAGTCGGGTGTTTTGTCACGTGCTGTTGGCCAGTATGTCGGTTCGCCTGTCGATAGAACATTGAGGTGTGATTTTCGGATCGCTTGCTCGAGTGTTTTACCTCTTGGTGAGATTGTTTTGGATCCCCATAGCTTGTGTTTGGCGTTATAGTCTCCTCCAACGAGAAATCTGTTCCCCAGTGACTTAAAAAATTCTGAGTAATGTTCCACTGTTATCTTGTGTTTGGGAGGAAAGTATACAGCTGATAAATTTATTGGTCCGTTGGTGGTTTCAATGTTTACCGTAGTTGCTTGCAAGTATATGTGTTTCGTGGTACTGTGAAGATGATGTTTGATGTTGTTTTTAATAATTACTGCGGATCCGCCGTGTCCTTTACCAGACGGATGTTTGGTATCGTACAGCGTATAGTACGGAAGCTTTATATAGTGTTTATCTGTTAGGTGCGTTTCAGAAATTAGGATGACATCGATATTATTGGTTTGAAGGAATAGTTTTAGCTCCTGGGTCCTCTGCTGCAGACCATTAGCATTCCAGATTACGATTTTTAGTTCGTTAGCCATTTTTATTTTTTGTTGTTAGATATCATGTTGGTTAGTAGTTGTATCATAGCGTTTATTTGTTGGGTCTGTTGTTGTAATAACTTGGTTTGTTCTAGGAGCATGTTTGCTATAAGTTCCGTATTTTTAGTTGATTGTATAAGTAGATTTTTGATTTCCGAGGTTTCATTATCTGTGTCATTGTTTTGATTCGGGAGGTAAGATTGACTTTGTATTTGGGACGATAGTGCTTGGGCGTAGCTTTTATTTGTTGTGTTTATCTGTCGGGTTTTATCATTATTGTTGTGATTCGGGATGTGGTTTTGTGTAGTGTTTTTCGAGTTACTGTCTAATGCTCTTTGCCTAAGGGCGGGATACATTTTCTGCTGGAGTTGTTTTCTTATGATACATCCTTTGTAACTGGCGGGATGATTGCCCTGGCAGTTAAAGCATTTCACATTTTCTATCTTACGTTCCAAGGAGCAGTTTGAAGTTAAGTGCTTACCTGCACACTTTACGCACGCGGGGATTTTGTTGCAATAGTTCCTTGTATGGCCGTAGGTTTGACATCGCATGCACTGGGGGATGTCTCTTTTCTTTTTTGGCGGTTCAAAGGAGATTACGGTATTTAGTAGCCGATCTATTTTATATATTTCCTTGTTGTTAACATTGGGTTCTAACTCTATGAAGAAAAGTGGTAATTGCTGTTTTGTATCGTATTTAACTATGTTGTTTATTTGTCTTACTTTATGGTTTAGTTCTTTTAATTCTTCAATGATTCTATTAGTGTTAGTTTTGGGGTGCATTCCTCTTAGTACAACTTTGTAACTTTTGTCTGTTTTTAATTGGTAAGTGTAAAAGTTAGCGTTCTTTTCCTTTAGGGCTAGTACTATTTTACTGTATATATCGGTTGTATCGGCTTGGATTTTTACCTGGTTGTTTTGTAGTTGTTTCATTGTATATTTGTTGTCCGCTGTTTCTTTTAAAAGATCCAGTAGTGGTTCTATAATTTGAGCTTCGATATGAATTGGAGGCGGTTTCGGTTGAGGAGTCTCCTTATTGACGGACTCTGATGGTTCATCAGTGACTTCAGGTAGTAAACTAAATAGGTTTGTAAGTGGTATATTATTCGAGAGCCATTTGTCTTGCTGTAGCAGTTCTGAGTTTGTTATGTTGTGATTATCAGGTATTATGACTTTGCGCTTTTTGTTATGGACAGGACGGTATTCACTGTTTGACTGTTTGTCGGTTTCCTCCTTCTCACAGTCTATATCCATACAGTTTGTTACATTAGGGTTGTTTCTTATTAGAAATTTATCTCCAGTTTTAGCAATTTTTAATCTTAACGTATCTTGTTGTTTTGATTGTGCCATTTGACTGTCTAGACTTGCCTCGTGGCAAGCTAGTTTGGTTATACATATATTCGTCACGGTTACTCGTATACACACGTACGCACTACTCACACTCACGCGTATGATATTTAGCCACTTCGTAAACACGTCTGTTCGAGTCGACGTTTCGAATGAGACTGATTAAAATAATACCAAATATGACATAATTTGTATCATATTTATTCATGTAGAAACTGTTAATAGTTCATATTAGTTCATTATCGATTCTGATAAATCATAAGTAAATATGACCCAAATTGTGTCGTGTTTGGTATCATTTTAATCAGAAAAATCTCACCAATTTGTTTATAAAAGTTTCATTAATAAAGAACCATAAATAAAAAAGTTTTATCGTTGCATTAGAATTGTTTCGTCGAATTGGCTCGTGAATGGGAAGTCGTCTCGGAGCGCTACGGCAACAAAGTATGCGGTTGCCGAGTTCCACAGCTTCCCCCCCCCCTCCACCAGTGATGGGGTTTAAGCCTGGACAATAATCGCATATCAACAAAGAGTCAATAATCGCTAGGACTCTGTATATAGGGAACTTAATGCAATGTTCATCATTTCTATGTATCATGACTTGTCTCAAGTCCATTCAATAGTTCGAAGGTAGCTATTGTTTTTCATTGAATTCTTATCGAATGGGTCCAAAGTTATAAGGTTTTTACACCTTCGATTTGTTCTCCTCTAAAGTTTAACAAGTATGACTTAATACATTCTGACTATGGCGTCCAGAAATAGAGATTATTGCGGGCTAATTTACAAAGATTAGAGTGTATTAGAATTGCGATAGCCCCATTAATGTTTCCATAAGATTCAAAAGAACATAAAAACGTCGGTACACTTTATTAACAGTAGAACTACCGAAGATGAACGTGTTTTTGTATCTGTTACGTTAGTGAAAGGGACAACTTATTGAAAATATGCAAATTGATGAATTAACGAACTTCAATGCTTATCTATTGTAATATAAGGCGCGAAGAATCTCAAAAAATACACTGTTTTGACATTTTAATAATTTTTGTAAGAGTTTACGAACCAGTCACTTTTACTGTTTTGGTAATTCTAGTGCTAAATGTTTAATTGAACTGAGTTTCGGACAATTTTGTATGAGATAAATGAATAAAATTCGTAGTCTATACATAAATATAGGTATCGCAACACTTTACAAACAGTTTTAATACGAATGTTATACTAACAGTAAGAGTTACATATCACGTCTATTGTACTGCAATGTAAAAACAGATACTTGCTATTTATATAATTTATCTGTAATGGTTATCGAACCTGTTTGTCTGAATCAGATGTATGATTTGAAATGATTGAGCGTGCTCAATATTATTTACATAATGTTTTTGTTATAAATTTCATACGTCCAAACTTTTGAAATTATGTATTAATCATTTCATTCACAAATAACTTAACAATTACAAAAGAAAAAATTTGTTTGTGTTTTTGTCTATATCACATGACATGTACTTAAATGATTCACAAGAATATTTTTTCCAAGGCAACTTTTGTACTTTCATTACAGTTATGTATAATAATTTACATTATATAGTTATACATAACAAAACACATTTTTTTTATCTTTGATCAGTGAACCCTCTTGGAACATTTAAAAGAAATTAAGGCTTTGTAAGTTTTTATTCCATTGCTAGCAATGCTCAACACTTGAATTCCAGCAAATGAAAGAAACAAAGGATAATAATATCGTGTTTCACCGTTAAACTTTTAAATAACATACATATTAAAATTCGTGTCATGCTATGTATACAAGACTAGAATAAATTATTGTATACTGGCAAATAAGGAAATGTAGGTGATACTAATATTTTAATTCCTAATTTATAATACTTAGCCATATGGCTACGGGGAGAAGAAAAGGTGAAGTATAAGTCAATACATTGATCATCGACTTACATTGTAGCATATTAATGATACGAAGAAATATGTTATGGGTTTTTCGTATTTTGCATTTCTGTTATGACTAGACTGCGAATCCTAACGCATTTTTACCTTACAAATATTTTCAAAAAACATTAAACAAGAAAATTCAATACAGTTTAACGTAGTTTGACTTTATTTTTAATCTTCTGGAACTATTAGTACAGGAAATAAAATTCTGATTAATTTTGCTTTCACTAATTTTACCGATCAGACTGTAAATTTGCATGAACTTCCGCACTCCAGTTATGACTTTTTAATTTAACATGCTACGTTTACATAAACGTTCGATTGGAATATCGTCGGATATCGTGTAGAATGGGTTTTTTTTCGTTTCCACGAGACAAAGGATAATGCTCAAATTCCTTCAAGGGCTTTTCAAATCGATATTAACCGTGGGTGCAGGTATCAGGGGTATGATTGTAGCGTTAATGTTTCTTTTTCAGTCGCTTGCCCTCGTGTGGGTGGCACGACAACTCTTTCGATAACGATCTATACCATTAAGTTCCCGAGGAGTACTCGACAGATCTTTCTTTTTTTTCTTATTCGTTCGTTCCCCTTTTCTCTTTTCCGTGAACTTGTCCCTGGCCCGTGTTTTTACACTTTATGCAGATCTCATCTCCCTTGCGACAAGGCTTACACGCGAAGAAACTCGGGAATGTTTGCTTCAAAAGAGCCGACGCGATTTCTCTCCCCGTGTACCCTCTTCTTGCTGTCGTTTTAAGCTTGTTGAGAGCAAATCGGCCACTTAAACAGAGGAGAAAAGAAAGAGGGAGACACTGAATGGTTCACCGCGCACTCGTCGCCTATCTGAAGCTGTTATGAGCTATACAAATGGTATGCAAGAGGGGTTGGGGGGGGGGCAACGAGTGTACTTCACCCCTACATAAACTGCAACGTGGCGGTTTCCCCCGCAACTAGTTAATGAAGTTATGATTGAAGGTTAAATTCCATGAAATTGCCTCGGTTAATGGCTACGGGGACCGCCATGAATGCAAATCAATGTTAAAAATTCGGCGAGACTATGGCAAGCGGTTTATCTCGAAATAACGATTTTTTTACCGCACCTGTGGGAATCGTGGCAGCAATTAAATCACGAGAATTTTGAATTGTATTTGTAGGCGACTCGAGATAATTAACGACGACGCAGCATGATTTATGGTGTGTCAAAAATTATTAATTGGGCAAAAGTTTTCAATTCTTTATTCTGTTGTATAAATAAGTAGAGTTATAGACTTGATTTTACTAACTAGTATGACTACCGGAAGTGCGCCTTCTACTCGAGCCAAGACAAAGAAAAGACAGGAACGCCTCCTTTAGGCATGAACTATAATATAATATTGTATACCATTTTCAAAATTATGAGTAACGTATTTTTTTCTAACGTATTCTTAAGTTCATCGTTAAAAAAGGAATCCACCTCGAAAGGGTTAATGGATGTTATTCACCTGGCAAATTGGAACTCCGGACAAACGATCTTTCTTATGCAGCAACCTAATAATTACGTTTTCACCAAAATCAGTCAAATATTGTATATTTTTTGCAGTAGTTCCCTGTTTTTAAAAGCACAAATTTCGATTCCGTGCATAAATTTTTGCGTTTCCGGACTTACATTTGCATGAAAAGCACACGATTTCAATGCATGCGTTCGCATTAGACGACAGAACGTGTTTTTGAAAGTCGCATCGTTTACCATAAACCAACGAATTAACAAAGCACTGGCTGACGCAAGAAGAACGTTAACAAATTCTTAAACGTGACCGAAAAATGGGCCGAAATCCTTTGTCGATTAGAATGTATTTCACGAGTGTATTGCAACAGAGTACATTGCAGTAAGAAGGGGGCAAATCTATTTTTCACGACTTTGGGGAAATTAAAAAAAAAACGGCTCATAAAATTATTACTTCGATTTAACATTATGAAGAAAACAGTAATTGAAAAAGTACATATTCTCATCCAAGAATTATTAGTTATTGAGTTAATAAATCTTTATTTCAATTTTTGGCGAATTTTTCAAAGGACGATGATACAAAGTTGCGAAATTTATGGTTCGTCTGACACCTAAACGGTTAAAGGGATATTATTCTAAATGTTCTAAGGAATTAGGAATGCATAATTATTTACCGCCAGTGTGATGGGACAGTTGTAAAAAAGGCAGATGAAGAGGAGGGACGCAGGTCTAGATCTGCAGTAAATGGCTTGTTCTTTATCAGATTTGCTACCGGCTTGCACCAAACGATGTAAAATTTTTTGTCACGTTTATGCATAATAACTACAAATCTGTCAAAAGTGAATCTGCCGCCTTGTTGATGCAAGGTGCTGAGTTGCACTCCCAAAGTTGTAAATTCTCCAGAGGAGAAGAAGTCAGGTCGCTCGCGTCAATAATCGAAATCTTTTCCTGGTCCAAGGTCAGATGCTTTCGATAGAACTCGGACCTTCGCGTTTATGTTTCCATTTCGATTCCCTATAAACTCTTTTATTTTTTGCCTCGGGTCTCGCGATGGTTCCCGCGAGCGCAGCTCACCAGCTAAGATAATAATGCATTTGTGAGTTCCGCAGAAATTGAATAACAGTCATGCTTGAATAATACAGGTATGGAAATGGAGTTTGGTCCGGGGGGTGGGTCACGAGGTGGCGGCAGCGCAGACAGGATCATTTATATTGTATCCAAGCCGTCGTCTTCTCCTACCTCCGCCTACAACGTTTCTCGAACCAACCTGCTGGCGTTCCTCCCTTTCTTGTTTTTCTTTGCAATCCTCTCCTTCATCCATACGTACGTAGAATCTTCCCTTACCTACCATCACATCCTCTCTCCTATTCCTAAATTGTCCCCTTTCACATCTTCAAGGTTCTCGTCGACCTTATCGTCCACCGTTGCTTCTTTCACGTTCGTCTCCTTCATCAAGTATTTTCAGTTACGTGTTCCTCAATCTAAGCTGATTTCTTCGACCCCCCCCCCTGCCGCCGTTTTCTTTCCTTCCAGTGGAAGGTCGTTTTTCTCGGCTCGTTCCACGCTCTTTCGCTTTTAGTCCTCG